TTAAAGCTAAAGCTCTTGCCAGGCAACGGCATAAATAATGGAGTGGCAAGCACTGCGAAATAGTAGTACGAATATATGTGTATATATACATATATATATATATATATGTATGTATGTATATACATATCAGATATTGCGAAAGTTGTATGTCAATTAACTATAAACTCAACAAGCAAGACTTCTCGAAGGACAAGTTTAAGCTTAGGCGACGACGGAATAATCTTTCAAAAGTATCGGGATTGCAGTCCAAGCAAGCTACTGTTATCGGTAATTGTGTAATCGATATATATACAAACTTGGAATGTTCATTAAATATGCTTTGAGATTTAATCGCCATTGTAGACACACAATTTTTGGCTCTTGCATTTTTAATAGAGCTAGTTATTATTTGCAGCTGTGGCAAAAAGATTTGACAGCTTACTTGCAAAACTATGAAAACAAACTAAAGTACCCTCACTTTTTATTAGTGTATGTATGTATGTGTGTGTGCATACAATAACGTAAAGTTGGCACAAAACCATCAGTCCAGTTGCACAAAAACTTTTGTCAATTAAAATATGAAAAATACGCCCTGGCAGTCAGCATCAACCCAAAGCAGAGGGTCTCCAGCACAGAGAGTGGCAGCTTCAACTAATAAAAGTTTTTGCAGGCCAAGATGCAAAGGACACTGCAACTTATACTCTATATACATACATATATATATATATATATATGTATATATCTATTTTTGGCATATTTGGCCAGCTTGGCAGAGCAGCACTTGCAACTGTTGCCCGCACAAGGAAGTGGGGAGGGGCGAAGAAGATGTTTTAGTGGAGATGTCTAGGGAGCATTTGCATGCGCCCCGAATGAATGAGTGAAGCAAACTTTTGTAATTAATAAATTATTTATGAAGTATAAATGAAAAGGAGAAGCTGCTAGAGACCAAGTGAAGCACTAGCCAACTGCAATTCACTTCATTTTAAATAATGAAAAATTACTTTTGGCTCTCTTGCACGGCGTCATAAATAAACACTCAATAGACGATGTCGTCCCCGAAACCAAAGCAAAAGAAGAAGTCAGAACTTAAAAAAAAATGTGAAAATAATACTGTTTCCATCAAAATGAAAAGGACTTTCCCACGCTGCAGGCTCTAATCAATGCTGCAGCTCACCGTGCAGAACGTCCATTCAAATGTCTGAGCTTTTATTTTATGCTTTTCTTCATTTTTCTTTTTGGTTGTGCTAATCCATGCGGAATTGTGCGACACACTCTAAGGGGCATCTTGCTCGATTCCGATTCCGATTTGGATTCGTGGCTTTTGTTGTAGTAGTGTGGCAGGCTCAAGGGCACAAATTAATAACAAAAGCCATAAAGAAAGCGAAAATCACTCCGAAAATTTGGTTCGAGTTTTTGGCATTGGAATTGATTGAATGCGGAGGCGCGCGAGCGAAACGACACTCAATATCAATTTCAATTTTGATAATTTATAGCGCATACCAAATTGCGATTGCGGTAAATTGAACTTTGAAGTGATTGACATTGAAAATATTTGGATCAAAATCAAATAAAAAATTCTGTTCAGTCTTTTATATATATGTTCTAATGTTCGATATATTTTTATCAAGTGGAAGTTGCCAAAGCAAATCATAATCAATAAAAGAATTTTGCACATGGATCCAGAGGGAGGTCATCTTTAATGTAAATTTGGTGATAAATTGATGATATGTGAATTTTACTTTTCTGCAATATTGAAAATGAGTAAAAGGGGTTTAATGACGCTGTGCAAAAGTATGTAACAGGCAAAGGGAGGCATCTCCGACCCCATAATGTATATATATCATTTTTATCTACCTTCAAGTCAAGTATAGAGACAAAAGTCTCTAATTTGTTATGTAATTTCTCGCATATACAAGCCAATTTCCGATAGCAATAATAGTGCGATTTTAAATGATTGATTTATCTATCAAAAATCTATATATATATATATATGTATATTTCTCCCAGTTGAGTCTATCCCTTAATGCACTGTGTACATATTTGAACTATATTAAAAAACTATATTAAACTGTATCACAACAAGCGCCAAGCTGCAGCTTACACTTTGTTGTAGTATGCTAGATTTGAGTAAGAATTAAAGTAAACAAAAGAGCAATACACAAACGACAAAAGGGAAGATACAGAGTATAAACACTCCCCTGGCTTTTGTTGGTTTAAAATGGACGATTTAAAAGTTGATGGCCAGAATGGTTATGACAGCGATAAAGAAAGGAACTGCAACTTCCAACTGCAGTTGAAATTTGTTGCTTCGTTTCTGTGCTCTTATGCATTTCATGCACTCAACTGATGTGAGTAAAGAGATCCTGTACTAATGACGCAATAATTGCCATTGTTTTGGTGAGGCTGTGTAAATGATACCTGAGCTATCATCATCATCATCATTGTTGGGGTAGAGATAAATGCTGTCGCCGCTTAACGTAGTGCATGATTGCGTTGGCAGACAATAGCAATGTCCTTAAAGTCCTTTGTGAATGCCCAGCAGGCAGTCGGCAGCGGAAAACGAAAGTATCGCATTACGACAAGGAGAACCAGGACGATAACAAGAAGAAGAACGACTCTGACAACGACAACGACAACGGTAACGACGATAACGGCTATGCATGGAGAGTTACCAAAAACTGCTGGCTGCCAAAAAAGCAAAGTTGGACGAACAAAAAATAGTAAAAAAAATAAAATAAAAAATAAAACGCGTCTGTCGCATAAAAGTCAAAAAGTGTTGCCAAGGCACAAAATAGACGGCAGTGCGTGAAATTAAATGTCAGCAGGACATTGAAAGCAAAACTGCCCTCGAGCATCAGCTATCAGCAACCAGCCACCAGCTACCAGCTACCAGCTCTAGTTTTGTGTTTTGGCTTTGGCTCAAAAAACTTGGCAACATTTTCAGCTGCATAAAATTCACGCACAATTATTTCGCAACGACAAAAGTCATTACGGCTTGTGCCAGTTTTACTTTTTCTGTTGTGGCAAACGCTTCTGTTGAATTTATTTCGTTTCCGCTTAAAACATATATATATATATTTAGTGCATTTATATATGCACTCAAAATGTTTACTAAATAAATTGAAAGCAAAACTTTGAAACCGCAGTAGACTTGCATTGCCAGATGCTTTAAAAATTTATATTGTACCGTACAAATTAAATTTATACTTTTATTTATTTATTTAAAGTTATTTGTGAGATTTTAGAAAAATCCATTACCTAACCAAATCGAATGCTAGCTTAAAATCTGTTTTAAATGATCCATTTAAAGTATTTCCAGGTATTTAAAAATCGTCTATTAGTCAATTAAGTCGCTTGAAATCTCATTTGCGTGAATCGAGTATGAATTGAGTCTGCAATATCGTATTTATACCACTTTGTATCTTTGATTGCTATAAATTGAATACTAAGCATTAAATATTTCATCATAAATGCATTTGCTAGTCAGTTGACGTTGCATTGATTATTTTTTATTGCCTGTCAAACTGTTGCAAACTTAGGCAACTGTTGTTCTTCAATTCGAACAATTCCCAGTGTCGGTTAACTTTTGAAAACGGACAAGTGATTTCCCAGCGGTATTCGTGCAACAATTTCCACATACACAAATTCAAATTATATTTATCTAATTTTGAACTAAACACACAAGATGAAAAGATGAAAAGGACGACAGCAGAAAGCAGCTGGCTCACAGGCGAAAATTGCAGCAAGGACACTTAAACAAAGCTGCATTTGATTTTTATTTAGTTGCTTGTGTGATTTCCCTAGTGTGTGGCCAGCAACACCATGTGGCATAAGCTGCAAAGGCATTATATAATATTTTATAAAAAATCCATAACCAAGCATTTGAACAGTCAGTGTTAGTGTATTGTATCAGGATGTTAAACTGAATCGTAATTCGTTTCCGTTTCCGTTGCATGTAAAGTGTAAAGGTTTTCAATTGGTTTCAAATTAGTTATGCTTCAAATGTACTAATACTATCGGGAAAAAATTGCAATCTAAATTGTGTTTGTGTAATAGTTATATTGGTTAAATATTGTAACTATATTAAAAAGTTTACATACTGACAAGAAAACACAGAATATTATAATATATTTCTTGATAACATCTCAAGTCAAATACTGTGAAAAGTAAACAAATTCTTTTGAAAGAATTTAACATGCAAACGTTAATTGGTAGCTAAAAGCTGTAAAGAGTCCGACTGCATAATTAAAAATCAGCTGTCAGAGATAGCTTTCGGATCATCATTAAGTAAACACAATCGATCATTTAGACAGCTTTAGCTGGCTGCCAACATTAGTTGGCCATTGTTTGCACTGTGCCTTTTACCTGATACACACACACACATACAGAGAACGAAATCCATTCAAATAAAAAGCTATTGATTTGCATGGCCTTGTTTATAATACGAAGTACATCAATAGTACAATAGTACAAATACGCGATGCTGTTCAACTTTTGCAGCTCATCCATTTCAATTTCAATGCACTCGCATAGTGAGTCTGTGTTTTCAAGGCCCCATTGGTTGGCTGGAGGAAAGAAGAGGGGGAGAGACGAGGCTGGGATTTGCTTTTCATTTGATCTGGAATCCACTCGTCGACACGTGTGCGAAGCGAGCAGGTTCCTGTTTCCTGTGGGTGTTGGCCATGGCCAAAACAAAACAAAAAAAGAAGCAAAACATGAAAACAATAAAGCATTGCAAATTACAAGGAAATACCTTACTAAAAAATAGTACAATAGTATGAATAAACAGACACACACACGATTTTATAGTAAATTCATAGCTCACAGCTAAAATCTGTGGTAATGCTTGAAATCTACGTTTTTTCTCAGTTACCAAGACTAGGCCACAGAGCCTGCCAATAAAAAGTCACATTAAGAGCTGTATTCTCAATATTTAAGCTGCAGTTTTTAATTGTCATTTAAGCAACTATTGAAAGGTAAGCTTAAATTTTGTTCAGTCAGCGATAGATTGTGTTCTGCGACTAGTCCTGGTTAATCTTTCCCAAACGCTGCTTGCCAGTCCAACTGTTATATCCCAAGATGGCCTTCATATCACCCTGTTCACTCTCAATCTTGCTCTTCATCTTGATCTCACTCGCTTCCTTTGTTATATCGATGGCACAGCGACAGGGAAACCAGCCACGAATGGGTCCCTTGCGTTGATCCTTGCGGCGATCCTCCGATCCATCGATGACACGCTCCCCAAATAGCCAGTGCTTGCGTATCCGTGTCACCCGTATTATATCATCAGGCTGCAGGATAATGCGAGGGTCATCTGTGCAGGGTATGGAAATGGTAACCCACAAACCCTGCGACCAAATGGGCAGCCAATATCCTGTAAAGTTGCGAATGCACTTGTAAATACGTGTTCGCTTCCGCTTATCGGCTTTCTGAGCGAGCTGTTCGCATGTGAGATCATATCGGTCACAGCCAGATCGCAGAGCCCAATGAATGCCCTTGCTGCGCATCTGTGACTCAATGTTAAACACCTGGCCCAAGTTCGCATACCAGCCGAGATCGTAGGGAAACACAAAGGGTTTCAGTTTGGCTAAATAGCGACGAGTGCTGGCCTTCTGCAGTATCCAATACTCGACATCTGTTTGATTCCTCAGAATGCCAGACATTTGTATCAGCAGCAATTTGAGCATACAGAGCACAATGCCAACGGCGAGGCCAAAGCCAAATATGCACATGGAGATACTGAAGAAATGCAGACGCAGCACTTCCTCCAACTGGCGACTATAGTAAAAGCCGGAGATGAAACGAAAACCCACACAGCAGAGTACAACAGCGGCATGAAGATTACTTAACATATAGAAGAACAGAAAGTAGACAAAGTAGGCTTGGTTTGCCCAGCCCACACAGCAATTTATCCACGGGCAATGATGATCCATTTTGAGGACACAACGATCACAGCGGCGACAGTGATGCGAACGTGGAGCCTTATAACCCTCGCACTTCTTGCAGTACTGCATAAGTTTGGTCTCACGATAGTCCACGGGCTTCCATTTCCGGAGCAAAAGTCCGGAGCCCACCAGCACGGCCATCACAAAGTTGTAGGTTGCCAACAGGTTGAGCAGCACAAAGAGGCCAAAATGTGCACTGGTCGAAAATGTTAAGTCCGATGGCCACCATCTCCATGTGGTCAGTGTAACGATCGATGTGATAATCAGCACGGTTATTGGACCCCAGTGCACAAAGCGACGTAACTCATTCGGATGTTCATTCGCTGCCATTTCAGTATTTGATGATTTGTCTTGGTAAATAAAGAAGTCGATTTTTGTAAGTAAAAAAATTGTGTTTAAAAATCGAGCGAAGACTACTGCCTAGCTTATTTCTCTGTTTGAAATCTACTTTTAAAAATCAGCAATTTTTTTTTCCATAAAATTGGATTGTGATGATTTTAAAATCGAGCAAAAGATTAACAGCTTATTATCATCATCTTAGGTGGGTGTTTGTGCATTTATAATGAAATTTAGATGTCAGCTGCTTTTTGATTTTAATAATCTATGTTAGACGATCATCTATATCATATTTTCACAACTCAGTTCTTCAAGTGTATTATTAATCTTAAGATGAACCCAAACCGCTCCTTGCAAAAAATTGCTGATCGATTGCTTCAAGTCTTGAATGGGGTATAAAATCTGCATTAACATAAAATAGCAGCGTTTTCCTAGCAGCGTTTTCCTGGCAAACTTTCAATTTATCAAATTTAAATGTGTAATTTTTGGTATTTGTAGTTGTAGAAAGAGTCAATGGCCACACTCTGGCATTGCATATAAATTTGGCACTTAAGCCGCAAATGAAATGAAATTCGAAATAATGAATAATAGAAAATGCAAATAGTAGTCGCATTGTATTGTTTTGTGTTGGTGGTGTTCCATTTCCGAGTATTATTGCTGGTTGTTGTTAAAAATTAATAGCAATATTTACGCGAAGAACAAAGAGGCGCAAAACATCAATTGAATTCTGAATACGAGCAATAAATCGAAATGCATTTTGTGCAACAGAGGAATTTAGTTATAATTTATGGAACAACATTTATAACAAAAATTGCATTTTCTATAAAAACATTCACTAACAATTAAACGTTGACAGCCGCAAAGTACACACAAACAATTGTTGGACATTTAAAGCCTATAAGGGATTGTTTTCATAAATTTAAACCGAAGTTGGAAGGGTATATAGGTTATGTTGGTCTTGTCTGTCCATCCGTAGTAATGAAACTTATAAACTGTGAACAGAGAAAGTATTAAAATCGATAAACATCGATTACAATCATATATATATCCCAAAATTGTAAGCCTGCCTTTTGACGACTCGACATTCACAGTTTTTTTTGTCAAGATATGGTTATTAAGTTAAATTAGTTGCAATGTATAAATATCAATTAAATTTAACTTCTCAACACAATTTGAGCAAGGAAATAAAATGTAATTTAAGACAATTGCTACCTGACTCACATCCCATCCTCCCTCAGACAACCTGTTCACTTTTCTGCTCTAATGCGCAGCTTCTGCAAAGGACCGTAGGATATACAGATACACACAGACACACACACACAGACATATCTATATATATATGCTTCATCTAATGAGTCTATCTTTGCGCTGTGGGGATTTGTGTGACTTGTGACTCTTGTTAGCCTGCACTTCTGTTGCCACACATGCCACACGACGCCTAACAAGCTCTGCCATTTATTTATGTGCAACATTTGAGCCTAACAAGCGAAAGTGGCATTGGCAAGGGGTATAAAGCACAATAGACTGTCCACAGTCAGTGTGTAATGGGCATAAATAAAGATTCCACAATTGGAATTTAAAATCAGCTTGGATATTTCTAGCTCTGTTTCCATTTGCTAACTTCATCTATTTTTCGCATTCGAAGAAATTGATTGAAAAATAATTGCAAGCCGAAACAGTCTTGAAAAGTTCTCCAAAACGATACAGATCAACAAAATACTGAGACGCTCACAATTCTATTCCTATTGCGCTTTTCCAGTTGAATAAGTAGAAGATATATAAAATACCTTATATGAAACTTAACAACTTTGCTTTAAATATGTTTGTAAAATTAAACTCATTCTTAATACTTATTTACACTTCATAACATTCTCTCAGTTAATAAGTCAAGAATTTAATTTGAGAAGAATTCGTAAATAGAGGAAATGATTTTAACCTTGTTTCTCTCTCTCTTTCTTTATATATATCTCTCTCTCTCTCTTTCTCTTTCGTTTTATATATTCAGAAACTGAAATGCAGACCAATTGATGTCATAATGTTCTGTGACATTTTCATTTTCCTTTTATGTTCTTAAGTGGTTTACTCTTGAGTTTTTCATTTTGCCTTGCTGAATGATGAGCAAAGTTTATGAAAACAGTAAATGGATTCGGTAGTGCAGCTATATACACTATATATATATACACATATATGTAATATATACACTAAATATCTATATATATATATAATATATATGTCTGGTATACACTCAACATTTCTTAAGTTAATTTGAAAATTAAATTCCCAACATTAAAACGCATAAGTGACACTTAAGCTTGTATGTGCCGGAGCTTTGCAGCAGCCTCACTCACTCACTCACTCGCTATCTCTCTCTCTCTCTCTCTCTCTCTCCTTCTCTGTTTATATCTCTCACTCTCTCTGTTACACTTTGTATGACTAAAGCGCGCTGTTTGTTTTTCTTATCAAAATGCCTGCGGCAGAGTGCTAGCAAACACACACACACACACACACGCACACACAGAGAATAGAGAGTTGGGGATAGCTCTGGTGCACATATCCCTTAAGACAAACAACGCACAGAAAACGAGCTCTTGCTGACGAGGCATCCAGGCAGCCAGCCAGGAGCGGAGGAGTGGAGGGGGGGTTGCTTGGCTGGCCAAGTGCACGCTTAAGAGTCAAGAGTGCAGAAAAATGCATAGCATACAAAGCGGCACAGCGAAGGATGCGAAAAAGTAGACGCTGCGGAGGCAAAGAGGCGCGCTGCGGCTGAAACAGCCAAAGACGCTGCCAAGGCAAACAAGAAACAGCCGAGGAGGGGGAGATCAGCCAGCGGAAGGCATATAAATTGCGTTGGGTGTGGGTTTTATTGTGGGGAGAGTGGGCTGTAAACGTTTTTGGTGTTTGACATACGACGTGCATTAGCAGCAAAGTCAAGGATTAGCGCCACTTGTCCTGAGACCGAGTCGGCCTCGAGGCAACCTCAAACTGAGTAACTGAAATTTAAGAAACAGCAGCAGTTAATCCATTAAATTCAACTGTGAACCAATTTGCAACCAATTCTACAAACAGAAGAAAAAATGCAAACAATTCAATTTAAATGGGAAATACATAGAGTGAGAGAGAGAGAGAGGGAGCGTGGAAAAGCGTAGGAAAAATGCATTAAAGAACGCTCCTTAAAGTATCGAACAGCACGTCAGAAATGAGAAACGTACAAAGGGAGAAAAATAGAAGAAAAAAAAAAATATAGCTGAAAAGAAAATGGAAAAAGAAAAGAGGGAAAATAGACAGCAAAAATATGTAGAGATGCGAAAAGCGGAAAACGGAAAGACGTCAAGGAAATGCCAAAGCTATCGCAAACGCGTTTCGCAATTTTTGAAGGATGTGTTAAGTCAAAAAATATGCAAATTTCACACACACAGCCAGGCAGTCAGGCAGGCCTGGTAGAGTTAATACGCCAAAAAGGTACAGCCAGCTACTATGTTCTATGTATAGCTATTCTCTATTTGTATAAGTGTGCGAGTGTGTGTGGGTGTGTGTGTGGGTGTGGGTGTGTGTTACGTACGTGTTATGCATACGAAAGTAGTGAAAATATCATCAATGGCAAAATATGAATATCTAAAAAGCATAACACAAATGGAGCAAAAAATGAAGCTACTGTCTCTGTAAAACCCAGCCACGCCCACCCACTCTCCCTCATGTTCGATGTGCGTGTGTGTGTGTGTGTGTTTGTGTGCTGCTGCAGAATATAGAAACTAGCACAGATGTCGATTTGTAGTTTACGCGTTTGACTCTTGAACTCAAGGGCTCAATTTGATAGAAAACAAGAGCAGCTGCACAAATACTCTTGATACTTCGAGTACTTCACGACTATTCTTAATAGTAGAAAAAAACTAACTCATCATCGCTCTTGTTCGAGAGGATACTAATACCACGTAGAAATAGTATTGCTATATACTTTCAGATAATCATTGCCCTTTGAAATGCCAAATGAAATGCGAATGGGTCAAAACATGTCCGCCCCATTACTTTAACAGAAGAGATTCGAAATTTAAGGTTACTTTGACATTGATCAACCCCTTGTATAACACTATATTCAAACTGGATTCTAAGTTAAAATGTATCCATTCAAGGAGTGCATCTAGGCACTGCTGAAAACTTTTCTTTGTAAAAGTGATCAGATTTTGGAAAACCTGGATTTTCCAAGTCGAAATGAATGTTAAGATTGTGACCTCCAAAACAGCTTCTAGGGACAAAATAAAGCTATCACAGCTGTCACTTTGCCAAAGCTAATCTGATTTTGATACTATTAATCAATTACACTCGGAAACACGATTTGTTTCCACATTCTTTATACAATTTTATAAATGATTAAAAGCTTTCCACTGCCTCAATTTCCTTTGTGAACCGATTTCACTAAGTTGTCTAAAAAACAGCGAATTTTTCAACAATATATTCCTACAACACACGCGATGCTGTAATGAAAATTCAAATTGATGTACTGGGTTTCCCACAGCAGAAGCCCCCATTAATAAAAAAATATGTATGGATTCATGATATCCACAACCCACTCATGAAAGTACAAGTATATTAAAATAAAATGAATAAGCAAATAAATAATAATACCAACACAAAACAAACAAACAAAAAAAAGAAAGAAAGAAAGAAAAAGGAAAAAAAAACGAAATGGAAATGGAAAGGTTAATCAAATTGAAAATATACAGTCAATTAATTCAAATTGTTGATGATTTATTGTAGAGCATTTAACAAACACTTAAAAGCAAATTATCATTTTCATTTGTATTGAATAAATAATATATATATAAATACTGCCCCAAAAACTATGCTATTCAATTTGTTTAACTATTTAAGCGCATGTTAAATTTAAAGTTTAAATTGGATTATAAATAACATTTTTTAGTTCCACCTCATTGAACAATTAATATATATAGTATACTTGCTGTCTAAGTGCAACCTGCAGTGAAACGTGCTAGTGAAGG